CTACAAGACGCAGGATACGGTGAGCAGCACGATCGGGCGATGGATGTACTTCATCGACCAGTTTGACTTCACACCGAAACATCTTCCCGGCCTCTCAAATCGCGCAGCAGATGCACTCTCGCGAAGACCTGATCTTTGCGCTATGACACATCATGCCTTCGCATTCGACGAGGAGCTTCAACGATATTTCATCTGGGCATACCAGTCTGATCCGGACTTCGCCACGCTATATGCACAGCTATCTTCGGATCACCCGCCGGCCAGCCATTACCGTATTGCCGACGGGTACTTGCTCCTCCACTCGAGAGGCAAGGATTTACTGTGTGTCCCACGCGACCGTCGTCTTTGGACTCGCCTCCTCGGCGAGTATCACGATTCGCGACTCGCCGGCCATTTCGGAGTCAACCGCACTATTGCACGGCTTCGAGAGCGTTTCGGATGGCACGATCTCATTACCGATGTCACTCAGTATTGCGACTCTTGCGAAGTTTGCCGACGCAGCAAGCCCCGCAACCGCAATCCCTACGGCGAGTTACGCCTGATGCCTATCCCACGGGAACCTGGTCTCTCCATTGCCATGGACGTCACCGGTCCGTTTCCCCGCGACAGGCTTGGGCACGACGGCATCCTCAAGGTGGTGGGCCGATTGAGTAAGTATGCGCGTTTTCTTCCTTGCAAGTACTACTCCACGGCTCCCGAGCTGGCACGCCTCCTGCACACTGGTTGGATTTGTGGCCACGGTGTACCAGAAAACATAGTCAGCGACCGCGACACTCGCTTCATGTCGGCATTTTAGACTGCTCTCATGCAGGAATCCGGCACGAAGATGAAACCAAGTTCGGCTCAGCATCCACAGACGGACGGGCAAACGGAGCGGGCACATCAAACCGCTCAGATGATGCTTCGTACGCTCATCCGTCCGGACCAGAAAGATTGGGTCGACTCCCCGACATCGAGTTTGCCTACAACACTTCAGTGCATCCGGGAGATCGGCGTGACTCCATTCGAGTTGCACCACGGTGGACGGAAAGGCCGGATCTTCGCCGACCTTCTCCTCCCTCGACCAGCCGACATCGGCGCTGCCTGCTCTCCCGCTTCCATCCGGAAGTACAGGGAATTGCTGACTCAAGCCCGCGCAAACATGCAAAAGGCTCAAGTCCGCATGCAGCAGCAAGCCAACAGGCGTCGCGTACCATGTCCCATCCGCGCCGGTGATCTGGTTTGGGTCTCCGTGGAAGAGTTTGCACTGGAACAGGATGTTTCATGCAAACTGCTTCCCAAGTGGTTTGGACCTTGGTCTGTGACAGCA